GTATAATATACTCACCCGTCCCAGCCTTAGTGGTTTCGACTTGTACGTGCTTTACCTTTAAGTTAGATTTTAGTAGCTGTGACTACTATTAACCCCGTTGACAATAGTAAAAACAAATACTACAAGGACTTTATCCATCTTTGATATATAATATAACATAAAGAAACTTGGAATAGTACCCAACTATAAAACTATTCAATATCTATACTAAAACTATTTATGATTACAAGAAGAACATAATTGACTAAGAGAGTCTAAGAAACTTTTATCAGACATAACAAGATTCTGATACATTAAAGATTATCTATAATAATACTATTAGAATTGATTACCAAAAAAGAAACTAAAAAGGCAGCTGGAAAGCAAAAATAAAACTTTAACTTGATTACACCTTTGGACTGATCATCTAAGAAGAAATCTATATTGAATCCTGTAACTAGTACTTTGACAATTTAATACAGTTCAACAAATAATATTGATACTAACAGTACTCATTATACTGATATCAAGAGGAAAAACTATCGATATAACTGTACCAATACTATCACATCAATCATAGTATCTCCAACTACAATACAATCTGTACAAACAGTGACTCAGGTACCAAACTTCTTCAATGACCAAAATGCTATAAGTAAACTATTAGCATTATTTGTAACAATAATAGGATCAATAGCAACAATATCAACAACAATCTGTATATGCAAAAAAAAGCTTAGTAAAGCAAAAAATTAAGTAAACAAATTGAATAATCAAATTCAATTACTATTACATTAAACCAAATTTGGAATAATTAAAAGAACTTCTTATATAATCAAATATTTACTTCTTATCAAAAACAAAAAAGATAAAATTGCAGACCAAGTAATCTAATGTCAACAAATATTACAAATAATTGTATAACAATAGATAACAATCCATTTGCAACAACTCTTATCTATTACCTAATTATTAAAACAATAACAATACTATTAATAATATTCATTTGCTGTTATAAACAACAAAGATATAAAAAGAGAGTCCTCAAGGCAATTCCTGAAGCAAACCAGTACCTTGAAGCAAATAATAACTGCTGTTGTTAATATATGTCCAACACCAATAATTCTTTATTATATAACCTATTATCAAAACAAACAAGATCAACACCAAATTTAAGATCAACTTAAATTCAATTAAAACTAGCAAGAAGAATCAATAAAATCTTAGACATAAGAACCAATAAACCTACAAGACCTTTACCACCTATACCAAACATCTTAAGACCACCATAAGTGGCACTCAAGACAAATATACTCAGAAGGAAGAAATAAATAAAACTTGAAATAAAATCCTTCCTAGAAGAAATAATAACTCTAATTTTTCTCATAATAGGACTTATAATATTCATAATTTTGATAATTATCAACAAAAGGAAGCAAAAGAAAAAAATATTAGGACAACTATTAATCTTGAACCAAGCAACAAAAACAGCAATACCAAACATAAAACTAATCAATAAATAATTTGAAACACATATTAGTAGCAAATACTGTCATACAAATAACTATACCAATACCAACATTAATAGTAACAGCAACAACTATTCAAACTACAATTGTAACAACATCACTATTCACAACTGAGAATCCAGCATTCTTTCAAAATCAAAACATTGTAGATATAGTAGCAGTAATAGTAACATTAATTATAATATTAGAGTAACAAGCTTTATCATAATCTTTTGTATAAAAAGCAAAAGAAACGAATTGGCAAGACATGATAAAGAAAATGAAAATGAAAATATTGCTAACCAAGTAAAAGCAATAACAGCAACACTTTAATGAACAAGTACATAACTAAAGAACCTTACCAAAAATTAGTGCTTGAATTATTACAACCAAAAGAAGAATCTAAATATATTATTAAAGAAGTAAACCAAGAAGTCAAAGAACCAGAAAAAGTAAAACTACAATAAGGAAATTATCTAGTTAAAAAATACCTACTATAAATCTGGAAAAAGCAATTTAAATATAATATAATCCAAACAGCAAACCTTATCAAACTACAAAAATTAGCAATTGAACTACAATAACCAAATAAATTCATTGTAGAAATAGGATCAAAAATCTGAGAAAAAGGAATTAACAAAAACAAACTCTAATGTTTACTTGTAACAAAGGAAGTCAAACATATTATTCAACCTTCCTAGCAAACTACTATAAATACAAATTAAAGCAATTATCTTTTCTAGAAAAAGAAGAACTCAGAAAAGCAAAAGAAAAACTATTAACTAAACTTCAAGAATTAGGACAAGAAGTAACAGAAATAATTGAAAGAGAAGAATTAACCAGAGTAAATATAATACTATTACCAACTACTACACCATCATTACAAACAATAAAAGTAAAAGTAGTAACAAGAAATACATTTAGAAGAACAATATCTGAAGAAGAATTAGCTTGCCTAATAATTTATAACCACAAATTACAAAATTACTTAACATATAATCTAGCAGTACAGCAATCAGGAATTGCTAAGACAAGAATACAAGAATTTTTAAAGAATGCCAAAATAATAAAACCACAAATCTATTAAAATGGCACAAGCAGAAGTAGATTTTCAAGCTTGAAATTACTATATGAAATTAGAAACTTCAGTAGAGAAACAAGTGATTATATTTAATAAAGAAATGAATTAAAAATAAAATTTACAGAAATGAGTATGAATAACACATTAACCATATTTGGAAGATTTAGTAGAAATTCAGATATAGGATTTATCATGCAACAACCAAATTATGACTCAGGAGCAGATTTACCAAAAGCATACTGGAATATTGAATTTTTTGGAAGAATAAAAACAGTAATATATACAAACTGCATAGAGCAGCTAGAAGACTATTAACAACCAACTCAAACATAAATTGTTACTTTAAAATAGTAGCAAATCAAAATAAATTAAATACTTTAAAAGATCTATACAACTATTCAATAACATCAGTAATAGATTATACTGTAGACAAATGGCATGCATTAGAAAATATAGGAAGAGGCCAATGCATATACCAAATATCTTAAATATCATTAAAAGAATTATTAGATAATACATATCTAACAGATAAAATCCAATTGGAAAGACAAAAAGATTTCCAAAACCTTATATACAAACCAGACTATAGTATAGAAAATGGTGACACCAATTTCAGAAATAGATATGAAGAAGCAATGGCTTTATCAAACTTCTCATCTGAAGGATGTAACCAAAGAGAATATGGCGACTACTAAATATGATACCAATCAACTTCAATTACCAAATAATGGCAAAAAGGCTAATGACTAAAGAAGCATTTTTTGAAGAACTGAATACTATATTTCATGCAAAAAGGAATGAAATGATTTCAAAAAAAGAAATTAAGACAGGATTAAAAATCAAGATTCATAATTTTAATGAAAGAAAACCAATAGACAAATCTAAAGCTAGATGTTTTAAGTATCAACAATATGATCATTTTGCAAGAAATTGTACTAATAAAAGAAAAGAATCTTTTAACTAATTTAAATTTAAAAAATATTAAAAAACTTTTCTAAGACATTCAAATGACTATGTCAATACTGCAAAAAGTTTTCACCAAAACATGAAAAAACATATCTAAAAAATAATGAAAAATATTACAATGGATCAAGAAGTAACCAAATGCAAATCAGAAGATATAATAACAACAACAGAAATAATAGAAATAACAACAAAAGTAATAATCAAAATAATAATTGAAATATTAATAATTGAAATCGATATAACAAAGGTCAAAAACCTAAAAGATATCATAATTATTAACTTGAAAAAAAGGAAAAGAATTATAAAAAACCTAAAAGAATGAAAGAAAGAAACTAAAAAATGATAAAAGAGATTTTAAAAGAAAAAAAATCCAAAACAATACAATCATTATAAAGAAAAAGATGATAAAGAACCTATAGCAACTTCCTTAAAAGCATCTTCTTCCAAAACATATCTTTTTTAAATGAAAATTTGCATAATGCTCAGGACAAACTCTTTAAACAAGACAATAGCTATGCTATAGAGAACATTAATATTTATAATATTAAGAAAAACCAGAAGTCTTCTAAAGAACATATTAACAATATCATATATATTAACCAGAAAATATTAAATAAAGATCATAATAATAATAACCTATATATCAAATGCTCTGCCAAAAATGTAATATCATAAAAATAATTGAAAAAGCAAATATTAACAAAGAATATGAATACTTGAAGAAAATATATCGATTTCCTTAAAAAGTTTACTAGTTAGACTTAAGCAAAAAACCAAAAGAAAAACAAGCATATTATTTTATAGCACTAATAAATAACTGGCCAATGAAAGTACTTCTTGATAAAGGAGCAAGTGGAAACAAGATAGGACAAGCATTGCAATAGAATAGAACTTATTACAATACCTAGACAAAGATAATAGAACAAAAGCAGTATTACTAGAAGGAAAAACAATCTCAAACCTAGAAGAACTAAAAGTAATAATTTAGATAGAAGATATTCAAGCACAAATTAAAGTAACTATTATCAAAAAAGAATAACCTTATCTACTCTTATCTGAAGTAGATCAAGCAAGATTACATATCATTAAAGATAGACAAAATAAGATAGTCTTAATCAACAACAAGCCTATTAGCTACCAAGAAATGGAATCTGACACAGATTATAGATGTAACAACCTAGTTCATAATGAACCTGCTTACTTAACCTTAAGAAACCAACTCCTCTTACATTTATCTAAATACTTCTCTAAAAAAGATACCCCCTTAAAAGTAAGAAAAAACATCTCAATAGTGCCCAATGTGGGTATGAAAACTGAAATCCACATACCAATCAAGATGGCAAATCAATCTAGTAAGGCTAAGCAAAATGACAAACAATCGAAAAATGTAGAAGAAAAAACAAAATAAACTGAAATTGAATATTAGAAATCCAAAAATATTAAAATACTTAAAGAATTAATATCATATTCTTTAAAGAAACAAAAAATACTTCTTAAAAAACAAGTTGAAAGAAATTAGCAAAAAACAAAATTAATAGGTGTTATATGAAATAGAAATTAGGTAGATATAGTCAGAACAGCTCTAGCAACAGACTTCAACTTATTACAAATATTCTTAGAATATAAAAAAACTAAAAGTATATATAAAAATAAACAGATGAAAAAATCCATAATAGTATGAAATAATAAACCAAATATACAGGAAGATGATAATATCATATAAGAAAATAGAAAAATTAGGCTAAAAATGTATTACATACATCAATAGGATTATATCTTAATGATTCATTATAGAATAATGAAAAAAGATATTGAAAAATAAATAGAATACTAGAAGAAATATATCTTGCTGATAAAATAGGAATAAAATGGGCCATAATACATATGGAACAGCTGCAGATAAGAATCGATCAGACATAATCGATAATATTAATGAAATATTAAATAAACTAATTCAACAACAATTAGAAATAGGTATATTATTAGAAAACTTAGCAAGTAATAATTGCTATAGTGCAACAATACCAAACCTTATAGATATAGTAAATAGTATAGATCAACAGTTAAGGTTAAAGGATGTGGTGACTTAGTGAAGTGAATAAGTTGTCATATTTTCAAGTGGTAGGTTGTGAGTTTAAAACCTACCGATAGTGAAATTTAGATAATCACTATGTAATATATAGACGATATTACAGCAACAGCATTCTGTCAATTAGTTGGGATAGAATACCTGTAACTATAGTTACATCAGCATAACTAGCAGGTCTGGAGTATCTGTGTAACCTGTTATACAAAAGAATGCAAACTGGTACCAGGCGGTGCAAACCTAAAATAAGTCCTTAGAGCATGTAAATCTGTAGAACTAGAAAGCCAGAGCCTACTTGGAAATTCTGAGCAGAGAGATAACACAGATTTTTAATGATACTACTGTAAAGGCTAGATCTAGACAATAGATACCAATGTGAAGGATTTGGAGAGCAAGAATCCTGGATGAGAGGTACTACCAACCAGGCTGTCAGATTTTAGACTGAAGAAAAATGATATTGGGCCAGCCTTAATATACCAAGAACAGGTCACAGTCCTTTCAGGCTATCTAGATTGGAAGTCTGGGTTTAAAGCAAAGATATACTAAAAGTATTAGGAATATGCTATGAAGTCAGTACTGGGGCCTAAGTGAACTCTGCAAGGGTAGTCTGTATTAGTGTTCTAAAAGTAAGTAGATAGTTAACAACAGAGGGCCACTTGCATCTTACTGGCAGTGATATACTCTGAAATGTGTAATGGCCTGAGAATTAGTACAAAAAAGGTAGATATCATACTGCTCAGATGGAATACTGGTTAGGTATATACAGAGGGTTAGTTGAGGATTTCAATATGACAGAGTAGATAATCAAAGGGTTTAAATGCATAATTTTCTAGTAGGTTATAGGTATAACATCTAGTGTAGAACCTTAGAGCAGACTACTTAAATAGCAACCAAAAGTTGCATGTATGACTAGCTGTACTCTCATCTCTATAAAAATAGTTGTAATAGCTAATCTGATATAAAGTTAATAAAGTATCACCACAAGTATGACCTTTAAAAAAAAAAAAAACAGTTAAGGTTTAAAAACAAAGATAAATCCAAGAAAAGAATTGGAATATGCTTCAACACCCAACATTACTATGTAACAGATGAAGGCAAGAGAATCAATGAATATCGAAATATATACAATATATATAGTCATGAAATAATAGTAACACATGTAAACAATAGTCCACCAGAAGTGATATTTGGTAAAAGAATGGACAAGCATGCATATATACTGGATCTAGCAGCAAAAATACCTATAGAAGTCTATCAAATAATAGCAGGGCATAAAGAGGTTTATACCATGATATGGGAAACACCCAATAATAAATTAATACAACAAATTGCACAGATTTATGAAGTAGCAAAATTAAGAGAATTTGCTAATAATGTATTGAATAAAGAAACAATACAAGAAGAATGGTCCAAAGAAAAGAACAAAGAATTAGAACAAAACAAAGAAATTTATAAAGGAATGGCAGCAATACCTTTTGGGATGCAATTTGAAGAACCAGCTATAATAGATTTAGCTGATCAAATGAGATGTATGACAATACATACTCAGTATAAAAAACTAATTAACAAAATATAACAAAAATTAAATAAACAATTAATTGTAGATGTGCAAGAAGAAATTAAAAGATTTAAAGAAACTAATAGAATAGTTTTCAAAAATAAAAAAGGGAAACAAAAAGAAAAAGAAATTCAAACAACTATACCAGATACTCCTAAAATAGAAAGATTTGTGAAAGAAAATCTTACACAACTAGAAAGAGTATTACAAAAAGAAAAGAAAAATAATAGTAAAGAAATTGAAAAAGACTTAAAGCAGTTGAGGTATAGACTACAAACTATTAAAGATAATTACAAATATGTATTAAACTTATCAAATGAAGAATTAGAAAGTCATCTAAGAACAGTAGAAAAAACTGCAAAAATAAGTATTAACAACAAAAAGAAGATAGAAAAAAAACCTTTTATAATATAATACAAGCATTAACAGAGTCAGAAGATCAACAAGTGTGGAAAAATAAAGATATAATTGAACAAATAGAAGATGAATATCAATTTAATAAGTATGCATTATTAAATATGACAAAAGAAGAGTTCAAATAAATGCAAACATGAGAACAACAAATAATAATAAGAAACTTCTTGATAGGATCAGAATTCTTAAGTGAAAACGTAAAAAAACAATTTTAGGACAAATATAAAGAACTATTAGCATCATTATTAGAAAAGCAAGAAAAAATGTATGATGATGATGAAATAGAAAAAAGGTTTATAGAAGTCAAAAGTTGATAAAAGGAAAACCACAACCTGAACCATTCCTACCAGAAGGTGCTATTCATAATAGATATATACCAAAAGATAATACTTATAGAGAAAGGCCTATATCTCCAACTTCTAGTGAAAAAGACTTTAGTCTTAAAAGTAGAAACATAGGAGAATGGCTAAAAAGCCAAGCAAAAGAACCACCTAGACCAAGTTCTTTGATAAAAGACTTTGTGAATAAAAATATTGTAGATCCAATATTTAGAAAAACACATGAAAAAATAGTAGTACATCAAGTTTATCAAAGATACCTTCTAGTTTAAAAAATAAAATAAATCTAGAAGATAATGAAGAAAAATTTAAACTTTAAAAACCACCTGTAAAATACAAAAAAACAAGAACAGTTGTATCAACTGATACAAATTTATCATCAACTAATAAAGATAAATGAAAAAAAGAAAAAGATTTTAGAAGAAAACTCTTTTAAGAAAACAAAAATGAAGAAATAACATCTGAAGATAAAAAAGAAATGAATGAATTAGATAACATTATAGAAAATAATGTGCAAGACTATTTTGAAAATAAGTATAATAATCAAGAAGAAACAGGTGAATTATTAAAACCAAGAAGATATGAGGATGAAGATACTAGAATATTAGAAATACTATGAAATAGACAAATAGCACAATATCTGGTAGCAAGAAATAGTAACTTAACAAATAAACAATGACAAAAAGCTTATAAATATACTTTACCTAAAGTGGCATGCCAAAATTATGAAAGTATTCAACACGAATATGAAAATAATAAAGAAGAAACAAACAAAGGATATGGAATAGCAGAAACAGATAAAGAAAATAATAGTCTATATGAACATTTTAGAGAAATGCCAATAGAAATATGACATATAATCTTACCAATAATAATAGAAGAAAAACAGGTAGATTATAAGGTATTCTATAATAAAAATACAGAGATACTCTCTATGAATATATGACATATTGTGATAGAAAACTCTGTAAAAAATGGATATATAGGGACCTCTGTAAACTTAGCTAAAAAAGGAACCTAGAATAGCAAATAATAATTACATAACAATAATGAATATATCGAGTAGAAATGTAAAATTTAACAAGGGACAACATATTGAAAATGTTGAAAAAATACAGAAAAATGATGAAATTTTTCTTACAAAACTACCTGATCTGAAAGATTAGAGTAAAAAAGAAAAAGAATGCATCTTGATTCTAAAGAATCAATGTGAAAAAACTGGAGACCCTAGAACATAAGAACTAATTGACCAAATTCTTATAGAATTTATAGATGTTTTTAAAGAAAAACAAGAATATATAACAAGAGTAAATACTAATAAGATACCTCCAATAGAATTAAACTTAAAAAATAGAATGAAAGAAAGTAAAATACCAATATGAAAAAAAAGACAAGCATTGAGAAAGTATAGTGAAGAAGATAAAAAGGTTATTAAAGAAATACGATATAACCTAATGAAAAACAATATAATATTCAGTGACAATACTGAATGGGGAAGTTCTGCACTAGTAATAACTAAAAAAGATAGAACAAAGAAAATTGCAATTGATTATAGAAATTTAAATAAATATTTAGAACAATATAAAGAGCCATTACCGAACTTTAAACAAATGTTGCAAACTGTTAGTAGATATAAGTATTATATAACAATAGATATAAAATCAGCATACTGGCAATTAGTGATGCATGAAAACTTGAAGAAATACACTGTAACAACATTCACAGAATATGGAATATACTATTGAAATACATTATCATTTGAAATCAGTACAATATCAGCATACTTAATAAGAGCAATGAACAAAATACTTGGATACTTAAATTATGTAGTAATCTATATGGATGACTTTGTAATTTTATTGAATGATAAATCTGAGCCCAAAATAAAATTAACAGAGATGTTAAGATGCTTAAAAAAAGCAGGCCTAAAAATCAAACCATCTAAATGCGAATTTCTTATTTAAGAAACAATTATATTAAATTGTAAAGTGTTATATGAAAAAATTGGGAAAAATGATTTAAAAATTAAGAAGGTAGACAAATTCACTTCTCCAAAAAATAAAACAGAACTGCAAAGATTCTTAGGGTTTATTAATTATTTTAGATCCTTTTTTTAGACTTTGCAAGAGTAGCAACACCACTATATGGATTAGAAGAAACAGCAGAATTCAATTGGACTGATAATTGTCAAAAAGCAATAGAAGAACTCAAGCAACAAGTTAAAAATGAATTACTACTATTATTTCCAAATTCAAACAAATTATTTTTTATGAAAACAGATGCTTCAGATTATGCAATAGGTGCAATACTATATTAACAAGAAGATGAATCACAAAATTATTAGAAAGTTAAAAAATCTCTAAAAAAGAAAGACTTATTACAAAGTGAACTTAATGATTTCTCCAAATCACCAAGATATAACAAGACCATTATAAAAATAGGATCACATGGCCTATCTGCAACACAGAAAAATTGGCCAACAATATTAAAAGAAATGTATGCAATATATTACTTTGTAAAACAATAAGAACATTATATAGAAACACAAGAGTTATATGTGTACTCAGATGCAACAGGAATTATGACAAATAAAACTGGATGATATGTTAACAAAACATTAGACAACTATGATGCAGAACTCAGACAAACAGTCAACCTTTATATATATAGAATAGAAGGAGCACAAAACTTTGTAGCAGATTTCCTAACTAGAGGAACAACAGACAAATTACAACAATTGGAAGAGTTAAAGTAACTCAAGAAGAAGAAATAATCCTTTATTAAAATATATTTAATCAGAATAATTATAATATTCATTATTATCAATATTCTCATCAAGATTATAAAAATAATAATTAATATAAATACATCTATGATCAGAATAAATTTCTAAACCAGAATCATACTCTTGATCAGAATTCTTAGAAGAAACATGAAAAATGTCAAAAGCATTGAAACAATCAATTTCAGATAAGATAGATTGAGAAATATTTGAAAAATGAACCTTAACAATAGAAGGATCTGTAATAAATAGTAAGGATTAGAATAAAAATATTCAACCACTATGCACTGAAAGCCTTAGATAGTTAAATTTAACTATTCTGGTCAAGTAGTGCATAAAAATCCAATATACATAAAAGAATACCTTATTATCTTTAAAAGATAAATTAACAAAAATTGATGAAAGATCCTCACATGGAAGTTGAAGAGAAGTATAACATATAGTATACTTATTATTATGAAAATCAGGATCAAAGAAATCATAATGCCAAAAGTGTTGATTAGAGGTTACAAAGTAATAATGATAAATTAAAGTAAACTTATCAGAATGAGGACAATTCTTAAAAAAAAAGAAAATAAAGTCTTAAGAGAACTTATATTCTTTTTAAGAAAAAGAAAATAATCTTTGAAATAATCAATAATAGAATTATCCAAGATAGAGAATACATCATCATAATTATCAGAAAAAAACTTTGCAGAATAAGGCTTGACATAATCAGCTGAAAAAGTAGATTGCTTACAAAAACAATAGTAATAAGAATTAAAGTTAGAAAAGATAAAACTTTTCCAAAGAAGATGGATAAAATCATTAAGAAAAACAATTCTAAGTTCAAGAAAAACACATGAGGAGTAAACAATGAAATCCATAATAAAAAACTTTCAAAAGTAGACAAATTAGAAAATACAATGAAATAAGAATAATACAAAAAGTAACAAATTAAAACAATAGAATGATTGATGAAAAAATTATAAAATAGTTTATAAGAAAACCAATTGTATAAACAAAACTCATGAAGAATTTGAGGAAAAACAAAGCAGAAAAGTTACTTCTTAAGTAGAAAAATAATGTGAAACTTGATAACAGCATATACAACACTCATAATACTAGATAAAAAATATTGGATGATACAAGAAGGAAGTTGTAAACTACCTAAAGATAGAAATTTCATATACAACAATATTTGGAATACAAATTCATTTGTAGAATTTGAAATCATCTAAAAAATGGAAGATGATATTGAGAAAATTATTAATGAACTTCCTATCAAAGCAAAGATTCCATCAGAAAAACAAATAAAGAAGATCTTAAAAAATGTGATAGAATGTATCAAATTTCTACAACAAGAAGGAATTCTTTATAAAAATCAAAAATGTTGACAATATGAGAATAAAATGAAACAAAAAGATAAGAAATAGAATTGTGTGTAACACAATTGCAGAGTATCACAATCTGTACTCACATTTTCATTCTTTGAAAATCACAAGATTTTCATCAATGAAGTATTTAGAATATACTATTTATAGCTAATCAAAGTGCCATCAATATACATTCATATAATGACTGAACATTTAATACAAACAATAGCAAACAATATAAACAATATCAAACAACTTGTCAAGTCACAAATAAATGATGCACATAATAAGATAGAGAAAAAGATATTATTGTAGAAATAGATAAATCATTATTTGGACATGTTAAGTATTACTATAAAAAACCCATAGATAGTCAATGGGTCATTGGGGGCATAGAACATACTTCAGAATGCAAAATATTTGTAGTAACAATTGATAAGTGTGATGAGAAAACATTGACTAATATCATTAAAGCAAATGTACATAAAGGATCAATAATATATACAGATTTATGAAAAGGTTACAAAAACTTATCTGTGAAGTACAAATACCAACATAAAACTGTAAATTATTCAAAATACTTTAAAGATTCTAAAACAGATGTATACACTAACACTATTGAAGGAAATTAGCTTGAAATAAAAATATTGACACCAAGCAGAAATAGAGCTAAAGATAAGCTTCAACCATATCTATCAGAATACATATAGTGGCAACAAAACATGAATAATCTGTAGGAAGGTTACCTACAGTGCTTAAAGAGTTATCTATTGATAAAAGCAGAAGATAAACCTTTAGAGAAAAATGATAAAACCAAACAATTAGAAAATCCAAATAAATTCTAAGTTATAAAAAAACTCTAAAATAATCTTATCTAACATCCAAGAACCAACTAAAAAAAACAATAAATACATTCAATGACTATTTAAGTATAGAAACTACCCCAAACAATCAAAACAATTCCAAAAGAAGAAATAGTAGTAATGTGGGTACAGCAAGTAGAAGAATCCAATATCCAACTACAATTAACTCAAAATATCAAAAATATCAAACAGAAACTTGGCATAAGGTTTAGCTAAAAACCAAAAACTTACTATGACTTAGTTGAAACAATATCAAATTTGGATTATTTGAGAAAACACAACGATCCTCAAAAAAGGATAGCAGAGGTCTCAAAGAAACTTCAAATAAATTTCAATTCCAAACAAAATTTGGTAGATCAATTAGTGAAGTTATTAATCTTACAGAAACAGAACAATCATGTCAACTTGATACTAGATTATCTGAATGGAATGAAGAAAGTGTATCTCAAAAAACTTTAGATAATAATGATAAACCATGGATATTAGAGCAATGCCAGTACCAGGAAATAGTCACACAAATGACTCTTCAGTTAGATTCTTACAAATACCAGATAGAACTACATATAAATCAGAAACAACTACTCTGGAAGAAACAGGAAGTGTACAGTATAAAATATGCTCTGGAATATTTGAACAACACGAATATTGGAACTGTCCAAATGCAATATGAAATAAATGCTAAGAGATAGGACATACATACTGAAACTGTTCAAACATTCCACTATTAAAAAAAGAAAGTTGATATGTTAACTTAGTCAGAAATATTGAATACCATTGTGAATATTGTCATAAAAAAGAGCATAAACAGTATCAATGCAAAGAATTATCATTGGACAAAGCTAATGAACATAATAGTTGTAAATGTGATCCAAAAAAAGTAAAAACTGTTAGGATGAATCATCTAATTCATTCTGATTCTTTAACATCAAAATCAAAAAAGAATCATTGTTGTAATTGTAAATTAACATTTACAAGAAATAATTTGATACTATTATAAAGAAGAAATAATAGAATTGATTGAAAAACAAAGAATGTGCATATGAATATGTAAGATACTTTTAACAAGTTAAACCTTGAAAATTACAAGTGATGGAATGGTTAGAACATAAAGGAAAAATAGTCAAATGTTATCTTTGTAAAAAGAAAGAAACAAAAAGAAAATTTGCAACCTTTGGAAATATATTCTTTTGTACTTGGGAAGAAAAATATGCTTATCAAATATATCTTGATATAGCAAATCCTTGTCATAATTACACTTATAAAAGAAGAAAAGAACATTGGCTCAATACTAAGCAATTAGCAGAAAAATATACAACAGTTAACAGATCAACTATAAAAAGAATTTATGACTATATTGCAAGAAGAGAACCAAATTTACAACAATTAAAACTTCTAAAAGAATAAATAGAAAAAGATAAATTCTCTTATCCAGAAGTACCTTTACTGTATAATGAAGAAAATTATGTCAAAGAAAAAATAGCTTATAACCAAGCTATTACAAAAGCTTGAATAATTTGAATAAAAAAATACAAAGAGACCAGAAACATATAACAAATGGTGTAAAGAAACTTCTAAAATAGGATGTACTCTTTGTAAAGAATGTCTTTTACTAATCAATATCAAAGAAGAGAGTAGTTATGTAAATGTAACAAATATGATGAAAAAAGCCATCTATTTATACTGTATTGATTGCTACAACAAAGTATATCATTTAACACAATATTGTATCAACTGTATTCAAAGTTTTCTGGGATTAGAAGAAGACCTAGCAAGAGAATTGTGTCAAGAATGTTATACTAAAGAGAAAGGAAAAGCAAAAGAAGAACCTTCAAAAAACTACTTCTTTTATAAACCAATAACAACTGAACAAGAAGTATTAAATAAAATGCTTTGCAACTATCCTTTATGATTTAAACAATTGAAAGAAGCACATTTCAAAGTAGAAATGGAAAACCAAATACTTCAACAGCAAGTGGACCAAAAACATCTTATAAATCTAATAAAGTATGAAGGTCTAAAGAGAATGATCCAAAGAATAGTAGGAGTAATCAATAAATCAGTAGATTTAATTAATAAAAGTATTAGTCAAGATTAACATATATATTCATTTGTGAAATACCAAAGAGAAGCAAATGCAATAGTCAAAAGAGCTTGACAAAAAATAAGAGAATTAAGACTTCCAACAGAACAACAAGCATTCAAAGAAACAATGCAAAGAGGATAATAACAAACAAAAAGATTGCCAAGAATTACAATTACTACAGTAATTGAAAATAATAATGATATGGAAGTAGAAAAAATTACCCAAGAAGAATTCCAAAAGAAAATTCCAAACAAAACAAACTTTGTATCACCATTCCTGAGAATTGAAGATGAACTATTTGAAAAAAGATAATTGTATTACAAAAATAGTATTAAATATTATTTAATATTATTTATTATTTAAAATATAATTTACTATATATAGTTTATCAAATATTATTAGTATTAAAATAGTCAAATTATTATTTATCAATATAACCAAAAATGTTTATAGTGCATATAGGGATTTAGAAACTTTTTACTAGCCAAATAAGATGCTTAAAAGGATTAAGTACTCCATAAGCCTAGATAGGCATGTAACGAAATTAGTAATTAAATATTTACATTACACAAGCTTGTAATTCATTTATTTAATTAATAAATCCTTAAAGGGATAGTACGTGATAGCACTATGCAATGAATGGGGCATAGTAGCACCAAGACATCCAAAGATGATGCAATGATAAGATGCCCAGAGTAGGCACACAAATAATAATATTGATAAAACATCTAAGATAGATACACAAGATTATTACTTAAGAAAGATATACAAGATTATCAAAGTATTATTTGGGTCACAATATAAAGAATTAACAAAGAACATTAGCATTACATTAACAGAGACTTAAGATGCAAACAAAAATTAACAGAATGTTAAGATGCAAATATTTACAAATATTTAATTAGTAATTAGAATAACAAAAGATATCATTGAAAAATAGTATTAATGAAAATATCAAATTAGATTTTTGAATAGCAGAAAATTGTCTATTTAAAGATATAGAAATAACCATGCAGCAACATGGCTCAACAAAAATATGATAAATTAATTGAAATATTACAGCAAAACTATAACAAAGTATCTTATTATGAGAAGATAGTAACTAGTTTACAATTAACACTAGAACTTGAAGAAGCTGAGCAAACACAATCTTACCAAGAATTAATACAAATATTAGTTAAAAAAAAATCAACTTTATAGAAGTTGATAAAAGCAATTGAAAAGATTAGAGATAGCTCTGAAGAAAAACCAGAATTAACTTTAGAACTAACAAGAATAACTAGACTCAAGGTAGCAGAAATATTCAAAGAATTTGCAAAATAAATTAATGAATCAATTGCAAACACTCAGTAAAAAAAAGTAGACAAATAATTAAAATTCACAGAAATAATACAAAGAAACTATAAGTAAGCAAAATATTACCAAGATATTGTATTCAGTTTAAAAGCAATTCTATAAAAAGGTGGGTGTGGCAACTTAGTGAAGTGGATAGGTTGTCAATCCCCAAGTGGCAGGTCTAGAGTTCAAATCTTAGTGATGGCGAAAATTTACAATTCTTTCTGTATTATGATTAACTGTTTTTCGTGATTAGTTGGAATAAAATACCTGTAACCCATATCAACCAGCATAACTAAAAGGTCTAGGCACTTGTACAATGTTGTATGAGAGAACACAAACTGGTACTGGGAGGTGTAAACCCAAGATAAGTTCTTAGGCTATGTAAATCAAGAAAACCAGATAGGAAGATGGAAGCTCACTTGGAAGACCCGAGTAGAAAGGTAACCCAAACCTTCAACAGTGCTATTGTAAAGACTAGACTTATGAAACAGAGCTAGAACTTGTGAAACCAGGCAAATGTGCTGATCTTTGAGGAGGAACTGGATGAACCAACCAGGCTGTCAGAATTTCTGAGTTCTAGAGAAAAAGGAAACATGCCAGCAAACATGTGAACCAGAGGTGTATAGTTTTGACCTACCTTTCTGAGCTATCTGGAATGGCAGCTTGGTAGAACTTGAATTGAATACCAAAGTAGTAAAAATATATTGTGAAGTCAGTACCAAGATTGAGATGAACTCTACAAGGGCATAGTGGTTTAATAGTACACCCTAACTGCAAGTGTTGGTCTCAGCTATAGTGATACCAGGTCAGCTATAAGAATAGGATACAGAAGATTCTGAAAGATTTAGTACAAGGTCAAAGGTTTCCTATATGAGTGAACTGCTTTAAAGACTTAGTGACCATAACATATTTGAATCGGTATCGACCGGGGCATATTGGTAGGTGTAGGTAGGTAGGTGGATATGGGAACAGAGTGGTTAAATAGGGAACCTACAAGCAAGTTCCAGGTATGGCAGCTAATGTAAAACCTTTGAATAGACTACTTAAATTAGATAATAACTAAAGTTATATGAATGGCTAGTTGTACACTCTTTCCATAGTTGCCTCCTGTGGTTGTAAAGCAACTATTAGCTGAATGTACTATTAATAAAATCCTGAGTCACAAGTACTCACCTTAATATTTAAAAAATAAAAAAACTAGTAGTTTATTAGTAAAAGAGTATGAAGACTCGATATTAAATTTAGGATCCACATTTGCCATTTTTATACTTTTTGGCTACATAGTAAATGTAACAGCCTATATCTTTTACATATACAAGTTATTTTATAACTACTATTAATAAAATAAATAAGATATATTTGATATATAAAATAAATAAAATAAAAAACTCTTTCTGCAAATCCATTGCACAAAAATTAACTAAAAAGTTCATTCATCATAAAACGCTTATAACTATTTATTTTACTAAGACAACCTGTCTTGGGCTTCTATGTAAACTTGTTCAGCTCACAATTTTACATTTAGTCTGCAAATATTAAGCTTCTATACCTCAAACTCATTGAGAAAACTGTACTGACAGCCTTTGGCCTTCAGTTAATAACTTTTAATCATCTTGCAGTTTCTATTGCTTTAACCTGCTTTATACTCTTAAGTAAAGTTGTAGTATACATTTACCCGGTTAAAACAAGCTCTAAACAAAGATTTTGACCTGATATTGACTAAACTATAACTAAATTCAACATTTACTCTCTTGTAAAACTTCTTTTTCACCTTTTGTCCTCATCCTGTTTCCTTTTCACCTTATACGGTTTTTATGTAACTATACCATTACTTCCTTATTAATTTACACCAATATTTTGTAACCAATCTATTAATAGAAACTCATTCATACAATCAATTTTTTCATATTTAGTTCTTATTAATATTACATAGTAATTTGTACTGCAAATCCTATTTGTGTTCAGTACCCGAGTCACATTAGTAACCCTATCCATCTCTGTTACACTTTTGTGTCATTCCAGTGACACCCTTAAACTATAACCTTTGTATTCAGTTACAACCTTTGTAAAATTAATTTCTACAAACATACTTTCTATTTAGAAAATATATCAAAGTTTAAAAAACTTTTATCTAACTTATTATTATTTAACAATGCCTATCTTAAGTCAACAAGAGCCTGATACAGCAGACCTTGATTACTTCTACCAAAACTTTTCCAACAGTTTTGGAATCACTCTCTATGAAGAAGATAACAATAACAAGGCCTGCTTAATCTCTTCTAAAGTCCAACCCATCTCTTGTTTAACAAAAAATCTTAGATCTAATAAGATTACACATTTCTTTAAAGCTCCTACTTCTACTTCTGTAATTACTTGTCTTTATGGCAAATATCATACCAAATTCATCTCAATCTCAAATATAAATTATACTCAAGCTATCGAATTTACAACTGCTTATATCAATAGCAACTCTAAAAAAATTAACAAAACAACTCAAGAACATATAACTAACCTCTCTTCTTCTATTAACAGTGTCACTCTATCTCCTATACCTAATATACATTATCATACTTGTCCTAAATGCTCTCTCCCAATTGATTGTACAAAAAAAAATGAATGTCATTACCCTAATAAAAAATATATTTCCAAAAATAATGAAATCTATCACCTTATTTGTATGACTGCCTCATCTCAACATGAAGCTAGTTCATCCAAAACCAAGAAAAATCTTACTCAAACCTTTCAAAACATCTTACCTGAATCTTCTCAAACTACCAATTCCTTTACAACATCTTCTCACCAGACCTCAATTTCTTCTGATCTTATCAATTCTTTTTTTTCTACAATTACTAATACTAATCTTATCACTAACCAACTTTCTATTACCAATACTCTTAATACCTCTAGCCTTAATCTCAACAAAACCAGTAACATCAACCAATCTGAAAATACTCTTAACAAACCTCCTCCTCAATCATACTCTAGTGTTCTCAAACCAAAATCTAATCCTACATATGACTGAATTGCAAATTTTCCAATTACTGAAAAAATGTAACCTAATAAAAAGCTGCAAACCTCATATTATCTTCAACTCTTCACTTTTCTTAAAAAATTTCTCTACAATTTCTATTCTGGCAAGAAAATTAAGCCAGCTACTACTACACAACCAGCACTCAAAGTATCATTCTATTATATTATCTGAATTATGGCTAGACAATGTCCTGAATTCTTAACTGACCTTATCTATAATAGCAATCCTAATATTGACAAAAGTGCTACTATTCCTTTTGATCTCCTTAAATCAACTACCAAAAACCTACTTCTTAAATTCACAACTGTTCTTTTCATAAAACTTAATTATCTTGAAATCTTTGCCTCACTAGTTACTATCCTCCATATACTGCTCATAACCACCTTCAACTCTGCCTCAATCTTGCACAACTTCACCTCTTTTTATCTAATAACTACCAATCAATTGATTATTAGAAATTCGCCAAAGATTTAAAGCTTAGATCTAAAAGATTCAAAATTGAATCTTTCACTCAAACTATTAATTTTGATCAAAAATATCTTATTATTCAATCAGATGCTTGATTCAATATTAAGCTTTCTTTTAATATTTCTAAAACTTTATTTCTCAAAAGATTTTGCATTCCATCTCTCAAAAAGTCTCTTGACCATTTTAATTCCTAGTTTGAAACTTACTATCCTCCTTATAGTAAACAATTTTCTTCCAATATTGATAAAGAAAAAGTCTGTACTTCGCTTAGAATTCAATTTCATCAACATTTTATTCTTCAACTCTCTAAATACCTTCCTAAAACTTACACCTTTAAAAAACTAACTCATTTCATGAGCAATGTGAAGAAGCATCTCGTATCACTAACTTCTATTGTTTTACTTGTAACACAAAGAATGTCAATATCTCGATAATAAAAAATTTCATGATACTACCAAACTTTTTAATGATATCT